GTAAAAAATTTTTACTGTTCACAAACTTAAATTCATGTTCTCATGAGAACTCTGAGAACACTAATTTCGAACACTGGCCCCAAATCCGTCTTTGGCTGTATTGGATACGAATTATAAACCTTATAAGTGGTCTGCAAAACAATTTACTGGTTCATTTGATCCACCTCCTCTTGCCTATCATTCTGCTCAAATTGTTGGAGACTACATGATAATAGCATTTGGTATTATATTTACTGATTAAACGTTCATTTCGTTCATTTGCTTAAAACTTATTAAATTTAATTTCCGGGTGTCGGTATTTTAAATGCGAAATTTGATATATTGACTGCCCCAAATAACAATATTTACATATTGGATACTTCAAATTATACATGGATTTCATATATTGTTTCTGTTTCTACTACTGCTTCTACCACTCTTGGTGCAAATGGTGCCAGTTTATCTAATGCAGCACCAGATGCAACACCAGAAGATTCCGATCAATCTAATAATCATTTACCATTCAACATTTTACTTATTGCTGGTATTGGCGGCTTACTTGGATTGGCGGCTTTCTTGGTGCTCGCATTGTTATTGGAGGCATCATAGGCATTATTTATAAACGTAGAAAAGTCACGATAATAAGTATATTCCACTCCGGGTATGAACATTCCTTATTAAGTAGTATTTAATTAGGGTTCTAGTTGTCTAGATTATTTATAATACATAATTTTTTTATTTTATTGTCACATTATTGCATCTAAGTGTCCTTGAATAAAAATTTTATGCAACTTATTAAGATTAGAATTAGTATTAAAGTGTGTATTATAAATAAAATTGTCTTTCAAATATTTTTATGGATTGTTTGCCAAATTTTATAAATATCTAATTAAATTTGTAAAAATACTAAATCATATTCGTAAAAATTAGACAACATATAAAATTTATATTCTCAATACCGTGTAAAGTACCCGGGTACTTTATAAACTAAAAATAGCCAAACAGGCTTATACAGGTTTTTTCCTACAAAACAGCCAATAAAATTGCATTATTCCCGGTACAAATCAAGGGGGTACAGATCAAGTAAGTACTTTACGACGTTCCTAGCTCTCCCACAAAAAATTGTACATCCCTTGCAATTTGCCCAAACGAATTTCAGGATCAGGTGTAGCATAAAACGAAACGAAACCACTTTTTTTACAAAAAAAACAAGAATAGCCCTAAATTTTAATTAGGAAGCCGCCTTCTGCGGTCTAAATAAAAATGTTCCTTGTGAAAGTTTACTTGTAGACGTCACATTAT